AGCTATTGCATTTTTCCTGGCATGAGCTGGTGAGGTCCTGGCCTGTACCAGGCTGATCACAGTATTAAAGGAGTTGAGTTTGAGATATCTTTGGGTCATCCAATTTGAGAGGTCCGGTAGGTATTTAGAGATGGGAAACTGGAAAGAAGTAACTCAAGAATTATTTGCATAAAGGTGATAATTGAATCCATAGGAGCTATTGTTGTTCTGTATACTGGATGTAATTTTTCTTTGAAGATGCCTCAGAGCTATCACTCGTTATACTCTTATTTTATTATGAGAGGCAACATGGTAAAGAGAGCCAGCTTTAAAGCCAGGAGAGCCTGGGTTCAAGTCTTTCATCTCATATAACTGGCTTTGTGACCTTTGATGAACAGTCCATTTTTGTCTAGCCTTGAGTGTAGCCCATAGGTTTTCAACAGTTAAAATCAAGCCAGTTCCTAGTCCATTATAGCATGTTTAAAATCTTCATCTCATAGCTACATTTCTTAACTTTTTGTGACGTGACATAATGCATGGTAATGCATGGTCATGTTGCAGTATTTCACCTCCATTTGGGAATTTCTGTGATTCTAGAATTCTGTTTTTTCAGTATATCTTATTGGTTTAGCATTTCCTCAGTGAGAAAAGCTTGCCAGTGGAAAATCTCCAAATCATGTTTTATGTTAAATATCTTACCATTTTTACTTGGATTTCTTCTGCCAGCAGTTTGGGGATAGCCTTAAGTGAAAAATTGAAATTTTGTTAGTAAAAATTGCCCTTGTCCACTCTTCTGCTGTGCCGGTCTTTGTATTGTCTTGCCTCATGACAGTGCATCAGTTAGCAGCTCTGTGTCTCTGTTGCATCCCTCCCTACCTCACCCAGTCTGGAAATGTAGCAACCATTCAGTGGCCCAGTTGATTAGCCCAAAAGCTTTGTTGCCTCTACTTAGGAAGCCTGGTGGCTTCCTGCTCCTGGGGGCCCACGTTGATGTCATTAATGTGCGGGTACTGGGTCAACTTTAGCCCTGTTTGTGTAGCTTCAAGGGATCCAGTGGCCTCAACCTCCGTGATAGAAAGATATTGCTGACCTGCACCATTGCACCTGGCCTGGAAGCTTGTTTTTGATTGGTTAGAGCCATGTTTGAACTCCAGTCTTCTGACTGCAGGTGCTGTGGTGTATGCACTGTGCCAGCTAGAGAAATTGAGTAGGCAGTCAACTATAGAGGCTGTCCCTAAGCAAGTTTTGCTGTATAGTGATTAAAACTTAGTAAAGACAAAGGAAAATTTAGGTTTCCTAAAGAGAGTAATAGAAAATAACATTTGAACATTTTACTCTTTTTTTTTAAATCTTTCTAGGCAGTTGGGGTTAAGTGACTTGCCCAAGGTCACACAGCTAGTATCAAGTGTTTGGTCTGAGGCCAGATTTGAACTCAGGTCCTCCTGACTTCAGGGCCAGTGCTCTACCTACCATTTCACTCTTTTTTAACATGCATTTAAAATGAAGGTCAGAATGATAGTGGGCAGAGGCACAAATAAGTAAATAAGGAGTCTAAATGGAAAGAGTTCAAATTCCAGTTCTTCCTTTTCTAAGCTATGTGACACCAAGTGTAGACATTTCTTTTATCAGTGTGTGTCCTCAAGTAAAATTAGGGTAATTCCTTTACTACTTATAAGGTGATTGTTGAGGAACTAGAGGAAAAATCTATGTCAAGTGTCATGTGTGTGAGTGGGTGATGTTTCTAGGTGTTATTATTCTCTTGCATCCCAAGTTCAATTAATTAATACATTTATGTTAATATGAATGCAATTACAAATTATATAAAAGAATCACAGAATTTGAGAGTTGCTGGGGACTTCAGTGGTCATTTAATTCATATATGAAAGAAGTCCCACTATCATCTCTTTTCAAGGGATCATTCAGCCTCTGTTTGAAGACTTCAAAGAGATGAGTGGAATCCACCACCTCTCTCAGGGCAAATGTATAATACAAAGAAGTAGTTTCACTTTTTTGCTAGAATATTTATTTTATATTAATTTTAGATAAGTAGAGCTTTTGAAACCTATGAACACAACTTTAATTTAAAAAAAAGCTTTTGGGGCATTTCATAGCTTTGAAGGGTAATCACATCCATTTCAAACCCCCCCCCCCCCAAGGTACACAAAAACCAACTGGCTCATCACCTATATCCTGCTTTTTGTCATTTTGTCCCACTCAATACTTAGATTGGCAGAAAGTAGGGAAAAGACCAGTAATAGTAACCTATTGTGGGAGAACTGGAGTAACATTAATAACTAATATTTGATTTTTTTTCATCTTATTGCCTAATTTCTTCCCCTGATCTTTAAGCTAAGTAAAGTGAAAGTTGAATGAATGTTTTTACTGACATTTGGAAGTAAGCTCTTTTTACAACATTAACAGTTCTTATCATTATCAGTCACTGGAAATTTAGCGTATGGTTTCTCATTTGTTGATGCTGTGGCCGTTCCATCAGAAAGTCTGATGCCTCCTGTATGGAAGTAACCATAGATCCTCGAAAGCTACATCAGCTGAACACATAGGTTGTAAGCACTGACACAGTTCTTAGAAATCTCAACATTGATGTCTTATAATTGATGTTTCCTTGTAAATATATGACCTTTATGCAGTGAGTAGGTTGATACAGTGTTGAAGGTCCATAGATGTTGACCACATTCATTATATAAATGAAATAAAATACAAAAGTTGCAGATGAGTGAAAGGTTAATGTCCTCTTTTGAGAGTTAATGCAAATAAAGTTTTGTGAGAAAGTTGGTTTCATTGTATACCTGGAGGCTGTAACAAACTTCTCTTTTGAAACTTGGTCATCTTCCTTTTAAGTGCTCTTTGCTAGTGTAACAAATAGCAAGATAACTGCACTAAAACATCTTTTTCAGGGTGAAAAAGTTTAGAAATTTTGTGAAGATCTAAACGAGATCTTCCACATTAAGTCAATATAACTTGATAACTTAGTGGCTTCAGTGGTGGACACAGGAGGGAGAATAGTGAAAATAATTTTGGGAAATAAGGTTAGCTATAAAGAAATGAAAGAGGCCCAAAGGTTTCAAAAGCACGAGACTTCAAGGACAGTTCTTTCCAAGAACTTGGAAGTGCTGGATGCACAAACCATTAAATAACGTGGAAAGGAAATCAAATGTGTCTTAAGACAGGAAAGACTAGTTACTGACAAGAAAGCGATTTCAGATTCAGCTTTTTGTGTGAAGTCAAGTCATGTCCAGTTAGAACAAAGGTAAACAAAATTTGAAAAAAAAATTAAGGATGAAAAGAACACACAAGCCCAGATTCAACTTCACTGTTTAAATGGCTTTTTCTCATGGAAATTCTAGAAAAAGGGAACTTGCCAAAGTAAAACTACCTTGGCATGGCATCCCCTTAAGGTTGAGCTGCTGCTTTTCTTCTTCCTTCAGGCCATGAGATCTTGCTCTGGCCAGTTGTCTTCCCAATTGAGTTCTGTGGCGAAATGACAAGCTGCTTGCAACAATGTAACCAATTCCCATGTATTGTAACCCACCATGATGAATGCCTATGAAATCTGTCTTGGAAAGAGAAGGGGGAGGAAACTGTGTGTGTGATGGAGTCTTTAGAATTAGTAGGTTTCTTCCTGATTGATAGTTTTTAATGACATTCATATGCTAGGTTAAGTTCAGAAACACATTTGCCCATCTGAGATAGATTCCTGTTGTTTCCATTAATATTTTCTTAAAATTCACTTATATCCCAGTGGAATACTTTATTTTTGAGCAGTAAATGGGTTAACCTTTGTTTCTTCATAGTGTAACTTCTTCATCAGGAAATATGCTCAAATTTAAGAGGTTCAGGAGGAAGTGGCCAAAGTTATTGGGAATGTATTTTATTCATTGATGTGTCAGTAGTAAGAGGCAACTATATCTTACTTACATAGTCCGTGCCATAATAAAGTTGTTTATTTCCATTCTTTGCTTTGGTGAATATAATGACAAAATTCACTACATTTCTAAATGATTTTTGGCCTACTTAATAGAGAATTTTACAAGTATAACTATGTTAAAGTAGATTTTTCAAATTTTTATCTAGAAGTTTGTATACATTCCTAGTAATACATAAGATTTTTCACAAGGAAAGGTACCAAATCATTTTGTAAGGAGTAGTTAACCTGATAATAAAATTAATGGTAATCTGTTTTCTTGGTAATGAGCACCTAGAAGAGAGACTTATATCTAAAAGCTATTTAATAAATATTTATCTTTTGAGTTTAGACTAAAGTAACAATATACTTGTAAAAAAAATTAAATCCTTGAATTCTAATGATGATGACTGAACTAAGAGGCTTTACTTGGATATAATAAGATGTGAGCTACTTCAAAGATTGGAAATTGAGGGGATGCCTCCAAACTGGGGAATGGCTAAACAAGTTATTGATAAGATTGTGATGGAATATTATGGTGCTATATAGAAATGATGAGGGAGATGGTTTCAGAAAAAACCTGGGATGACTTATATGAACTGATACAGTTAAAATGAAGTGAGCAGAACCAGAAGAACATTGTATACAGTAGCAGCAATATTGTAACAGTGATCAACTGTGAAAGACCTAGTTACTCTGATCAATACAATCATCCAAGACAGTTCCAAAGGACTCATGATGGAAAATGCTATCTACTTCCAGAGAGAACTCATGAACTCTGAATACTGGTTGAATCATAATATTTTTCATGCCTTTTTTGGGGGAGAGGGACAACATTGCTAATACAGAAATGTTTTTCATGACTTAATGAATAATGGAGTATTGCTTGCCATCTCAATGGGTAGGGGAGAAATGGAAAGAGAGAATTTGGAACTCAAGTGAATGTTAAATTATTTTTTGAAGAAAAGAATTATGTGAGACATCTAATGTCTGTACCTTTGGTTGTAAAATGAAGTTGATATTTGAAGATTAAGTTAAATGAAACTTACTTATTGTAGACTAGATTTTAACCATATAATATTTGGTTTTTTTCCTGTAGGAAACCACCACCACTCCTAACCCCCCACTTGCAGAAGAAGAAAAAACTGAAACCAATCAGGAGGTTGCCAACCCTGAACACTACGTTAAGCATCCACTACAGAACAGGTAAGCCTTTTCAGCATATCCCAGAAGGTTTGGTTTGTACAAAGTTGCAGGCCTGTGATTTCATCAGTGTAGGAAAGACCTGCTGTGGCCACTCCTTCCATTTATCTGTAATTTATGGTCTTAGAGAATTACCTAGAGCATTTCAGAAGAAAAACGTGGAACCAGGGTCTTCCTGTCTTCAAAACTAGCTCTGTTATACTTGGTGACTTTGCACAGCCCTGACTCCCTTAAATCCAGTTCACTTGCATGTCATGGCATCACCTCCCTGGTGTCGTGGGCCTCTTCGAGAATGAAGGGCAAATAGCAATATTATACTTGTATGCCTTTTAGATGTTTATAACCACTAATAAGGTATTATATAATCCTTTAGTTCTTGATCTTTTGTGCTTGTGTCCCTCTTGTCTTATCATCTCCCTTCTATTCGGTAAATAATTTGTGTACATTAACAGGGTCATATTGTTGTCCATTAAGTTACTTGAACTTTAAGATTTTAAGTTAAGTGGCTGCAATATAGGACATTCTGTGTGACCCCTGCATAGCTTGAGTGCAGTGGAGCACACACTTAAATGGCTGACTAAATAGTACTTAGTATTTTTGAGCTGAACTGTGTACCTGCTAGGCAGTAGAGATAACAATTTTTTAAGAATAAATTTTTATTGTTATGTTTTTGTATAGCAATCTCTCATAACAAAGAGTTTTTAAAAACACAAGAAATAAAAATGAACACATTAAAAAATGACACCTTATGCAATTTTTCATACCTCCAAACCCAGGTAGGTTGGAGAAGAGTGGAAAGGACCTATCTTCATATATGTCATCTTTGTCATATATGTCATGCTTGTTTGTCATAATTTCATAGCATTCAGTTTCATGTTTTGTGCTTATTCTTTAGTCTCGTGTGTATGTATGGTTTTTGGCCCTTTTTCACTTTACAAGTATTCATCATGTTTTCTACTATACGTAAGTATCATGATTTGCTTATCAATTTCCCAGTGACCATCAACACTTTGTTTACAATTCTGTGCTACCCAAAACATGCTGCTGTGCATATTTTTGCTGTTCATGGAGCCTTTTTGTTAATGACCTCTTTGGTCATTGGTACTAATGTAATCTCTGGATCAAAGGACCTTTATTGGCATCATTCCAAATTGCTTTCTAGAATGGTTTTTACAAGCTAACAGCTCTAACAACAATGTGTTAGTGGTGTGTCTTTGCACATACCTTCCAATGTTGACTGACTCTTTCTGTTTTTTAACTTTGCCAATTTGTTAGGTGTTGGAAATGCAAATAATAAAAAGAACGCACTGGTTTTGCCTTTAAAGAGCATACATTCCAGTGGTCGTATTCAAATAAAAATGCCATATGATAAACTGTGATAAAGACAAAAAACTGTATAGCTTATGGCCACAAGAAGGTAGTAATACAGGGAAAGCAATATGCTTTCAGCACCTGCTGTGTGTCAGGAACTGTGCTAAATATTTTACAAGTATTATCTCTTTTGATCCAGATGTGAACTAGTTATTTGAGAATACTAGAGAGATAGTACGGTATACAAGCATTTATTATTATATAGGAGGGTGTGAGTGTGTGTGTGTATGTGTTGAGTCATTGATAATTAGCTGAAGGTAGTACAGAGGTACCAGTGTTGTTACTCTTGGCATCCATTTTCGTGTGGACTATAGGCCTCAAAGTAATGTACACCTTGTGTCAGTTCCTTAATACGAGATCCTGATTCAAGGTTCCAAATCAAGTAGTCTTTGCTGATTCTCAATCATAATGTATTTTCAAGAAAATGGGGAAATTTTTGTGCATAGTAATGTACCACTCCCCCCCCCAAGAATGAGGAGTTTGTTTACATTTGTGGATCAGGTAACTGACTTAATAAGTTGATACATACTGTGTTGTACCTCCTTATATAGAGACTTTTCCTCACAATCCTTTGAAGTAAGTCATATTATCCTCACTTTATAGAAGAGGAAACGAGTCAGAGAGGTGAAGAGAATTGGCCATTCATTATAATTCTTAGTATTAGAAATGACACTTGAATCCAGGCCTCCTGAGTCTAAGGTGTTCTTGTACTCTGACATACTTAAGAATGATGACTTGAAGTTAATGACCTCTTCCAGAGTAGTCTCTGTATCATTAATGAGAAGCTCCTAATACTTAATGACACCTTTAAATGTAAGGCACTTTTACAGTAAATTGATGAGGCTGATGCTTTTGTGGACTGGATTTGTGGTTTCCATTAGTATTGATGCAGATCAGCAAAGTATGTATTATAGTCTGGTGAAGTTCTTTGTGTCACAGAACAATTAAAGTTACTTGCCTCGTGGCTACACAGCTAGTAGTATATGTGTAAGATATGGGGTTTAAACCCAGATCTCTTCCTGAATCTAAGGGTGGGCCTCTGTGGATCATAAAGTGCTGCCTCTTTTACTCATGTTTGTAGCTACACCTATACAGTTTCTACTTACTAAATCTCATTTTCCCATAACCTTTTTTTCCCTCTTGTAATAATTTAGTTACACAATTTTTAATAATCAAATATAAAGTAATAGTTATCCCTCTGAGATAATTTACTGGCAATCCTAGCTATAGTTGGTCCTAAGCCATTGATAACAGCACCTGTCAAAGACTAGTCTTGACTAAAAAGTATTGCCCTAGGGAGTAGTCATTACAGTTGACCGTGTGAAGCACAATCAGGAAACCTTTTGAGTCCATTGAAAAGGGTTCTCTGAATGACTGGAAGAAGAAAAAACCGTTTGTGAGTTGTATTTAATGTTATGTTTACAATTAAAGTTTTTGGTTAATCATCCTTCATTTGTCCATCAGCTTTTTTCCTTAATAATTCTTTATTATGGATTATAGATTAGAAGCCACAATTGGAAAGAGAGCCAACACCAATTCTGTGGTGTCGTGATACTCTGTGTTGAGGGAATCAATTGTGAAATGTCAGCTAGAAAAGGACAGTTAAAGGAAAATATGGCTCTTTGTATGTATGAGAATATTGCTATATTATAACCTGGTACAATTTTTGATAATCATAATAGAGTTTGGAATGCTCCCTTTAAGAGTTTTGGTATTTGAGTTAAGAATCTGAACAATTCATTAATCAATAGTCCTTCATTTCTTTCCAAATTAGACCAGCCAGATTAATTACAAATTCTCACGCATATAATAAATAGACTAGAACTCTTAATTCTTAATCTCCAGTGCAAAAGCCAACATCTCATTTTCCTTAACTCCTGTATAAAGTTCCTGTAATATTAGTTTCTCTTTTTGGAATAAAAATTTAGCTTCTTCACTACACTCACCTCTAATTTCATAGTTCACTTTTTTTTTTTAGATGGGCGCTCTGGTTTTTTAAAAATGATAAGAGCAAAACTTGGCAAGCAAACCTTCGTCTGATCTCTAAGTTTGATACTGTTGAGGACTTCTGGGCGTAAGTAATCTTCATTTTGGGGTTGTTTTTAAACTATAGATTAGTTTGATTTATGATGATGATATATCAGTCATATTTTTATGCAGTTTGGGATCATTAGCCATTAGTTAAATCAGTCTTGTAAATTCATTCTGTGGTTTGAATAATGTGAATATTGAAACTATTTCCTACTTTCCTAAGAATTACACATAGAAGTCCTGGGAATCTTAAGAGTATTGTACCATTTTCCCTCCTGCCTCTGAAAATATTTGAACAGTGGTCATTGAAACCTGCCACTATATTGCCTCATGACTAGGAGTTCTCGGGAGGAGGAGAGGAGAGGAGCAAAGAAGGGAATATCTAGTGGTTTGAATCACTCTTGTAACCCTTCGCATGTGCTGCTGCCCTCTATCTGGACTTCTTTATATATGCCTGGTTTTTGCCTCAGTGAAAAATAGTCACAGAGCTTATAAGAGAAGCCAAATTAATGGCCATAATTTTTTTTCTTTTTTGTACTTGTGGGTAGCTTCTGAGAAAGTTGATGATACATTTCTTGATTCTTCTCACTAGAAGCAAACAACTAAGCAAAATAAAACTGGAATAGGACTTCAGTTTGCCACAAAGTATAAGTTGATCAATACATGAGGAGTACTTATCGCCTTGGAATTGTATATAGTCCCTAGGAACCTAGCATTGGAAACATAGAATTCAGTCCCTTCTCAGATTCAGAATCTCATCTACCCCACCTGTGCTCCAGGCAATTCAGTCTTTAGGTTAAACTGAAACCTGGTTCTCTCTAACTTATACAAATTGTCTTCTGATCCCAGGCCAGACAAGCCTAATCTGTCTTCTACACAATAACCTTTCAAATATTTGAAGACAGTTATCCTTTACCTCCCAAGCATTCTCATCTTTAGGCTTAAGGCTGTCAGTTCCCTCAACTTCAGAATCTTCTCTTCAGGTTCCTGGTTTGCAGCTTGTCAGTGACCCTTCTAAACTGTACTGCTTTATTCTTTTAGTGGGGCTAAAATCAAATTAGCTCTTTTAAATGGCATATTACCCTGCTGACTCATGGAGCTTGTAATCCATAAGGTCCCTAGATGTTTTCTTTTTTTCTCAATAATCCCATGGGGGGGGGAGATAAGGCACAACTGTTTATGTTTAAGTAAGTTGGTGTAAATAAGCATTTTTTTAAAAAAAGATCAATATTTCCTAAATGTTTATTATTATGAAATTTATTGAACAAATTTCATAGCAGTTTTTTCAGTCATGTTTTTTTAAGACTGTCAGGATTGTTCCTTCATTGTTCTTCACTTTTTAAAAAATGGTCATAGTAATCATATACGTTGTTCATCTAGTTCTGATTTTCCATTTTGTAGTATTTCGTAGATGGCCCAAATCCTTGTATTTGAAATATTAATTTTATCAGTATATTTCTTCTAGTTTTCTTGCAGTTAGAAATATGCCTATGAAAATTTTGTAGCAATTACTTTTTGTTTTTGATTTTGTTAAAACTCAGGGTCTCAACAGCAGTTTAAGCGATATAACTCTTAGATTAATAAGCATAATTATTTTTATGCCTTTTTCTATGTATAACAAGGTTTTTTTCCAAAAAGATTATATTGGTTTTTATATGTACTCTTCAGTGAATGAACGCATAAGGCTATAACACTGCCAGCATTGTATTTCATTGCTTTGAGTTATTTTTGCTAATTTGATGTGTAAGGTGGAATCCTAAAAGTTTTAATTGGCTTCTGATTATTGTTGAGGTTGAGCCTGTTTTCAAATGACTATTAATAATTTGTTTTGCCTTTGGTGATTGACCATTTCATTTATATCATTTGACTATTTACTTGAAGACTTCATTTATTTAAAGAATTTAAAGAAATTTACCTTTGTAAATTATTAATAATTCTTTTGGGGGGGGCGGTGCGATGCAATCAGGGTTAAGTGACTTGCCCAGGGCCACACAGCTAGTGATTATCATGTGTCTGAGGTCGGATTTGAACTCAGGTCCTCCTGACTCCAGAGCCAGTGCTCTATCCACTGTGCCACCTAGCTGCCCTTTTAATAATTCTTTATGTGTTAGATGCCAAGTTTCTAATCTGACATTTACCATAAATTTTTTCCCCAATTTGTTATTTTCTTTCCATTGGATTGCTTCATTTATTCATTCATTCATTCATTCATTCATTCATTCATTCATTTATTTTTGCTAGGCAGTGGGGTTAAGTGACTTGCCCAGGGTCACATAGCTAGTGAGTGTTATGTGTCTGAGGTCACATTTGAACTCAGGTCCTCCTGACTCCAGAGCTAGTGCTCTATCCACTGCGCCACCTAGCTGCACCAATTGGATTGTTTTTTTAAAGTTATTTTGATATGTTTCTTATTAATTTTCTCTATTTGTTCAGTAGAACAAAGTAATCTCTCCGTGATTAATCCCTAGTCTATTTTCTTTTGTTTCTGTAGTTTGTTTTTGTTTTAAGCTTATCATTCAGTATAAGGTGAGAAGTGTACCTTATACCGATGGTATAGTGGATAGAACCTAGATGGTACCGTGGACAGAACACTGACCTGGGATCAAGAAGACTCGAGTTTAAATCTGAACTCAGATACTTACTAGCTTTGTAACCCTGGGAAAGTCATTTAACTTCTGTTTACCTCAGTTTCCTCAAATGTAAAATGAAGTTAACAGCATTTGCCTCCTATATTGTTGTGAGGATCAAATGAGATAGAGTTGATCAAGTGCTTGGCTCACGATGTCTTGCACCTAGTAAGTGCTATATAAATGCTTATTTCTTTTACTTCCCCTTTTAAATAAATTTCCTACCAAATTGCTTAGATATACTCCAGGTTTATTTGTTAAATAATAATCCCTTTTTACTGTTATATTTTGTTTTAGTTTATCAGGGACACATTTTCTACATATTTGGTGGATGTATTTCTTTTTTATTCTGTTAGATATTTTTTCCACATACTGCTTTCTAACTATGTTGCTGTTATAGTGTACAGTTATTGTTTTTATCCAAATACTAGATTTCACTTTTTAACCATTGTAAGTTTCATCTTATCATCATCCTATCATTTTAGCCAGTCAGGATCTTTTTTTGACTCTGATTGCCTCATTTGAAATGGTACCTTTTGGTCTCAGCTTGCCATTTGCAGATTTGATGAGCATGTCACACATGTTGTCATCCAAGTCATTGTTTAAGATTTTGAGCAAGAAAAAAGGCCCCGTGTACTTCCACAAGACTACTTCCACCATTTTGGGAGGTCAAGACTTTGTGTTTATGTCTCATCGGTTACACAGTTCTTAAGCCAGCTAACCATTTTGCTATCTAGTATACTTCTCTCTCCTTTCCCTATCCTTCTCTCTTTGTTAGCCATTTATTTACATTCTGTCTTTCCCAAACTGAAAGTTTCTTTCTTCTGTAGAGGAAACAAGTGTGAAAAAAGTGTTTTCTCTATTGACTGTTACTGTCATACCTTTTATTCCAAATATATCTGTGTCCTTTTTTATCTTACTATTCCTCCCTCCTCATTGTGACATAATGGAAAAAGTACAGAAGCCAGAAGACCTGGTGCCAGGCCCTGCCCTGCCACCTGCTACTTAATCTTTTTGAGTTTCAGCTTTTTTATCTTTAATGTGAGAATGCTTTCTCCAAACACTTCACTGAATCATTGTAAAGAAAATCTTTTTAAACTTATAAATAGGACCTCTTAACCTGGTTAGTTCAAGTATAAAATTTTTCTGAAGCTGTAACCAAAGTTTTCCTCAGATCTGTGTCTACATAGAAAGTAACATTACATTTTCAGTATATATAACAATTTTGAAAATAAACTTTTTATCATAATTTTCTCTTTGACCTTTATCTTATGTTAAATCTTTATTTCTCAACAATCTACTCCATTGACCCTCCCTTATACCATAAGCATTTATTACATGCCTGTTGTGTGCCAGATACTGTGTTTAAATGCTGAAGATAAAAAGAAAGACAAAAGACAGTCCCTGCTCTCAAGAAGCTCACAGTCTAATGAGGAGACAACATGCAAACAATTCCATGTGAACAAGATAAATTTAACAACAGAAGGAATGTGCTAGAATTAAGGGGATCATCAGAAAGTCTTCCTGTAGAAGATGGGGTTGGTTGTTTGGCTTGTTTTTTTTTAATCTGGGATTTAGAAGAAGACAGTCAGCAGAAATGAAGAGGGAGAACATTTTATGTCCTTGGACAGTCAGTGATAATACATTGACTGGGAGCTGAAATGTCTTGTATGAAGAACAGCAAGGATCCAGTGACACTGATTACTGAGTATGTGGGAGTAAGGTACGAGAAGGCTGGAAAGGGAGGAGGTAGCCAGGTTTTGAAGGACTTTGAATGCTAAACATAAGATTGTGTATTTGATCCAGGAAGATGTAGAAAGCTATTGAAGTTTATCGAATAGGGACATGACGTAGTTATAGACTTAGGCTGAGTACAGGCTGGACTAGAGTCAAGGAGACTTGAAGTAGGGAGGTCATCAGGTAGGCTGGTAGAGTAGTCCAGGCACAAGATGCTGAGGACCAGACCCATGCCAGGATGGTGATAGTGACTGAGCAGAGAGAGGACATGTAGCAGAGGTGTTGTGAAAGCAGACTTGACAAGATTTGACAGCTGATTGGATAAGGGGATGAGATTGTCTGGGAAAATAGTGGTACTCTCAACAGTAATAAAGTAATAAATAAATGAAGTAACAGTAATAAAAAAGTTAGGAAAAGAGAAAAGTAGGGGATAGGAAAGATAATGAGTTCAGTTTTGAGATGTCTGTGGGACTTCCAGATGGACATGATGAAAGACTGGAGTTTAGGACTGGATAAGTAGATTTGAAAATCACATGAATAGAGATGATAATTGAATCCATGGAAGCTGATGGGATCCCCAAGTAAAATAATAGAGGGAGAAGAGATCCCTGGAGGCTATTCCCTATTCATGGGTGTGACCTGGATGAAGATCCTGCAAAGGAGACTGAGAAGGAACAGTCAGATAAGAGTGCCACATTACAGCAATATCAAGAAAGCAAGGGAGAATAGGGTGATCAGCATTGAGAAAAGACCATTAGATTTGGTAGTTAAAGATCATTGATAATTTTGGAGGAAGCAGTTTTAGTTTAATGATGAGGTCAGAAGCCAGACTGCAGAGAGGTAAGAAAGTGAGAGGAAAAAGAAAGTGAAAGGAAAAGGGAGTAAATGGACTTCTGGAGGAATTTAGCCACTAGAGATTTCCTTATGGTGCTGTCCTCCTTCATAAACAGACACCTACTTTATGTTCTGATTTTTTTTTATTTTGCTACCACACAGTCGCAAAAATGCTACTGCTACTATTTTGATGTGTGTGAACTTTTCTTTTGGTTTGTGACTTCCTTTAGGGTGTGTACTTAGGAATGAAATTATTGAGCAGAAGTCAAAATTCAGTGCCTTTTTTTTTTCTCCCCATAGTTCCATTTTGTTTTCCCCCAGAGCTTTGGGACCAAATCACAGTTCCACTAATAGTGTTTATTAAGTATGTTTGTTTTCCTTTGGCCCCTCCAGCATTGACTGTTTATATGCTTTATCACCTTTACCATTTTGATGGATGTCCAAAGAGTTGTTTTAATTTGTACTAGATTTGAAGCATTTTTATATGGCTGTTGATAATTTATATTTCTTCTTTTGGAAACTGTTTTATACTCCTTAATCACTTAACCACATAGTTTTCTTCCTTTGCTTTCCATTAGTTTACTCTCAGCTGCTTTCTGTAGAGGCCAGTAGGTGTGGCCAACAGGGCCTTACATTGTTGGGACCAAACACTTGGCTTTCTAAAGGTGTGGTGGGTTTTCCAGGATCCCATTAAGACTGTTCATGCTCTTAAAAAAAACTATAGGCTGGTAGAAGAGAGAATAATATATTTTGTCCCCTTACGACACTTGAGGGACACCACTGTAGTAAGTAATATGGTTCCTTACTTAAAAAGGTGTAAGGCTAATTAAATAACACAGTACTCCCATAACACTTTAATTTATAATGCAGTTTGTGTGGGAGAGGGAAAGGGATATAGGTTGTTAAGAAGTGTAGCAGTATTTATACCTATGACAGTTACACAAGGTCCCCTTCATTTCCAGAACAGTGTCTCACCCAAAAGTGTTTAGTGACATATGAACCATAAATTGCCAAAACTCTTGTCTTAGACTTGTTTAAATTGTCTAGAGAAATAAATAGAGCAGTGTTTGTACTCTTTCTTTCCTTGAGACATTTTCCTCTAAGGTAAATTTTTGGAGGAAAGCCACCTGAAACTTATTCTTTAGCGCTAGCTCATCCTGATATGGAAGTAACCTTGATTCAGCTTGGCAGAGGGCAAGCTCCAGCAGATTTCATTAAGGTGGAAAATACAGGCCTGGTGACAGACCATTTCTGTCCCCTCATTTATGGATCAGCCTATCTAGGGTAGAGAGATTCATTACCAGTTTTACCAAAGAGTGATTTAAGGCCACAGCAACCTTTAGATCAGTTTGTGTTGGTGGAAGAAATACCTGCACTAATAACATTTTAGGTTATTTAAGTATTTGAAAGCTTTATGTAGAGTCCCCATATTAAGATCAAGTTATGAACCTATTACGTTCATCATTTCTGCATAGCTTGTATTTTTAATTTGTGTGAAATATGTCTTCCCCAAAACTGTCATATAGGGAGTTGACAGGATCATATAGCTGAAAGGGGGGACATCAGGAGGTCATCTAGTCCAGCCCCCTTTTTCCAGTGAAGTGAGTACCTGAATCATCCCAGATGGCTACTCTCTATTCTGGTCTTGAATATTCATCTTTGGGAATTGAGTTCTATTTCAGTGTTCTTATTGCCCTGTGTTAAAGATAATCTTCCATATGTCCACCAAACTCTCTCATTTTATGTCCTATTTCTTGTGCTTTCTCCCAACTTTAGAGTATTACTAAATTACTACTCAGCATCCTCTTGTAAAGTTAATCCTTATCTCAGCAATATGACATGGCAGCCAAAAAAGAATGCAGACTTAGGGGCATGGTGTCCAGAATGCTGCAGGTTACGGTTCCATTATGTCCCATTGGTCAGAATAGGGATCTGATCGTTTTCACTTCTATGTGACACATTTTAGGATGTACATTGATAGAGCCTAGAGAACATCTAGAAGAAGTTGAGAAGGATGGTTAAGCGGCCTAGAGATTACACTGTATAAAAGATCATTTGAAGGATCTGAACATGTTTAGCCTGAAGTAGAAAAGACTTGGTCAGGAATGATAGCCACTGAAAGTATTTGAAAGACTGCCATATAGAAAGAGATTGTGGACAGATTTGTCCAAGCATCAGAGAAGAGCTAGGAATAATTTGTGAGTGTTGCAGAAACAAATTTAGAAACAAACCTCCTTATTTAGTACTTTATTTTTCCCCAGTTACATGTGAAAACAATGTTTAACCTTCATTTTTAAAACTTTGGGCTTCCAATTCTCTCCCCACCCCACACCTCCACCCCCACTGAGAAAAGCAAGGAATTCATGTAGGTTATACATTTGTAGTCATGTACAACATTTCCAAATTAGTCATGTTGTGAAAGAAAACATAGGGGAAAAAACTCAAAAAAAATAAAGTAAACAAAGTCTTCTTCAGTCTGTATTCAGGCACCATCAGTTCTTTATCTGGCTATGGATAGCATTGTTCAACATAAGTCTTATCTTCAGAGTTGTCTTGGATCATTGTATTGCTGAAAATAGCTAAGTCATTCACAGCTGATCATCTTACAGTGTTGCTGTTACTTTGTACACAGTACATGTCACTTTGCATCAGCTCATGCAAGTCTTCCCAGGTTTTTCTGAGAGCATTGTGCTCATCATTTCTTACAGCACAATAATATTCCATCATAATCACTACACCTATGCAGTCATTGCCCAATTGATGGCCATCCCCTCAATTTCCAATTCTTTGCCAACAGAAGAAAAGCCGCTATACATATTTTTGTACATATAGGTCTTTTTCCTGTTTGCTTTTTATCTCTTTGGATACAGACCTAGTGGTAGTATTACTAGGTGAAAAGGTAATGCATGATTTTATAGCCCTTTGGCTTTAGTTCCAAATTGTTGTGCAGAATGGTTGAATCAGGTCGCAACTCCACCAATAGTGCATTAATGTCTCATTTTTCAAAGAGAATTCTTAACAATTAGGACTATGCAAAGATGTAATGAGATGCTTTGACCAGGTGTGAAGGGGTGGTCATCAAAGGGGTGGTTTTCAAAGAAAAGTCTGTGTGACCACTTGTTAGGGTATTGTAGCAGGGGTTCCTAGTCAGATGTCTGTGAACTAGATGGGCTCTGAGATCCCTTTCGGCTGTTGAGAGTTGGTGATTCTACATCATACATTTAAAAACAGGAATTAAATCACTGTATAGTTCTCTTCTTCTCCAGGCTAAATAGTTCATTTTACTTAAATCTTTAAGCCTTTGTAGTCATATAAACTCATATAACCCACTGCTCCTGCTATATCAAATAAATCTCAAGTTAGATTAGATGTTGTAATAAACTGACATTTGATAGTATAGAAGCGTTAAGACATTTTACATAAAAAACAGTTCACACTATCAGAAGAAAATTCTTGAACTTCGTTCATGAATAAAAATCTGATTAATAAACCCATTTCAATTGGTAAGTATGAATTTTTAAATATCTAATTTTGTGATCTATGTTTTCATCGTAGTCTTTAAAGGTGATACTTAAAGCTCTTAACTCTGCCTCATTTTCTTTTGTTCATAACTGTCATTTTCTTTTACATAGTTTATACAACCATATCCAGCTGTCTAGTAATTTAATGCCTGGCTGTGACTACTCACTTTTTAAGGTATGACTTATTAATTGCTGACTTTAAAATTAAGTGGACATGAATCATTTAATTAAGCTAAGAAATCTTATCATAATACTACTTTGAAACCTGGCCTAACAATATGCAAATATTATGCGTATATAGGTACATATGTGCATTGCCAAGTAGTTTTTATAGGTATAGTTTAGAAATAAGGAACTAAGATCTTTATCCTAAATGTAGTGTATAATGGTGCTATGGTTTCAAGGGACTGTGCATTAATGGATGGGAATGTTAGTGGAGATTGTTGAGACAAAGGGAGTTTTTGTTTGCTAAACTACATGACAGGCTGTTGTTATTTTTGGTTTGAACTCTAGTGATCAGTTTTTGAAAGCGTGTCTGATAATCTACCCTCTAATTTTACAGGATGGAATTGAGCCTATGTGGGAAGATGAAAAAAACAAACGAGGAGGACGATGGCTAATTACATTAAACAAACAGCAGAGACGAAGTGACCTTGATCGCTTTTGGCTAGAGACAGTAAGATTTTAAATACAAATACATTTTTTCAAGAGACAGTTTTAGAGCACTGGTGATATTCAGTGCTTTGGAAACAATGTTTTTGTTAAATCATATCTTTTCCCTTGTTTAAAAAGAAAATAAGAAACATCCATTTGGGAAAATGAGTGATTGCTAATATAATCGGTGTAGCTAATACATTTTAGGAAGTATGTTTGCTTGATTAGTGAATCACCCTAAGTATCCTAAGTGAGAGTGGTACTTTGCCTGTAACAAAGATAACTAAACCTATTTTTTTTCCCTAAGAGATGTGGTTAGGGAACATAATAGATGAATTTTTGCAAATTTAGAGATTTTGTTCTTAGCTGTTGGCTTTTCATTTCATAGTCTGATTATTTCTTTATTACATAGTCTAGATAGCCAAGAGTGTATTAGTTGAAAGCAGCATAAACCCCAGTTTTTATCAAATTCTTTTAAAATTTTCCAACATCACTGGAATAACATATTCTTATGTTAATTTGTAACATAGTAAAAGTTTAAATTTTAAACATGGTAACTATCACCTGCTACATAAATATAAATATGTTATTGACTCTTTTCCTTGAAGAATCAGAAAAACTAGCAATTTATAACAAGCTTTCATGTGAATTGAATTTCATCGGTTTTTTAGATCTCTACATGTACAATGTTGTTTGTAATTTGTAATGGACTTTTTTTCCTTTGTTAGCTGCTGTGCCTTATTGGAGAGTCATTTGATGACTACAGTGATGATGTATGTGGAGCTGTTGTTAATGTTAGAGCTAAAGGCGATAAGATAGCAATATGGACTACTGAGTGTGAAAACAGAGAGGCTGTTACACATATAGGGTAAGCTGCATTTCATAATATTTATTAATATTATTAGGGTATTACAGGATGAAGAAGCAAATTTTTATTTATGCTTTGAGAATTAACTTAGATATGTGGACTTTCCATTGGCTTTCATGAACACTTTTCATTTTCATTCTTATGGTTTTTTTTAAAGAATTTATATTCTTGTTTTACTCGTACATGGCCCTATTCTTAGACTTGATTTATTCTGTTTCTCTGTGTCCAGTAATAAAACATTTACGTTTCACTTTGATTCACTTTAATATTGTCATTGTGTGGGGTGCTAATATCAAAATTTTGTTCGCCATTGCTTTCCACACTTTTTTTTAGTATCAGTTATTATACTTTTGAAGTCAGTGACCCTTGATATTCTGAAAAGGTCATATTGCCAAAACATGATTCTTAATTCTGGGGGTATTTAGGGATGAATGAGAGGGGAGAGTGAGGGGGCAGTAGTCAAAGAGACCAAAATATATACGGGTTTCATGCTAGATTTTCCTTTAAAATGTTTTATTGCTTTCAGTTTTGATTGTTGCTGTAGATCTGTTTTGTTTGGGCATTCTGTGTTATAAACACATTTAAAGTAATATTACTATTACTTTAAAAATTCAACAGGAATTTTTATTTAGGCTAGCCTTAGTACATTTGCTGCAAGTAGTGAGTAAATGAGACGCAGTATGGTAAGATGCATAGAGGCCTTGAAGTAAGATGGACCTGGATTTGAGTCATGCTTTTGCCTCATACTAGCTGTGACCATGTTCAAGTCACAGTTTCTTAGTACCTCATGCACCTCTTAGATTCTGAGTTATAAATGACTTGCCATTCTTCATTGGTGAAGGCACTTCCCATACAAATCATTCCCTACGTTGAAAAAATCATAGATCCACATTCCTCCTCGAATAAGTGTGTTTGTTGCATGAGTATTGAATATGTCTTAGTTTTTATTTGAGATAGATAGATATACACACACGCGTAAAACTCTTGTTTAAAATTAATAAATAAAAACTGATAGTATCTTTTCTTAAGTATTTTCTGTTTGTACATATTCTTTGTACTTTTAGTGTGTAAATTTTTTCACTTATTTTAAATTGACCTCATGGGTTCTGGAAATTTTCAGATTTTATAAGCAGAATTTTTTTTATCAGCCTATAAAAGTAGCCCAAAGGTAGCATAATGATCCCTCACCATACCCAGCCATGCCTGGTAAATGATGTTTAAGTCTCCCATAGGTAATTAAATCCCATCACATTTGAATGAATGGCAGTAGTTGTGGTGGTGGTTGTTGGGATGGGTGTTTTTTGTTCTGTTTTATTTTGTTTTTGCTTTTTTGAAACTAATTGTGAGCTCTTCCCCTCTCCTCCCCAAATTCTTGATCCTTCAAGTTACCTAGAAATTAAGCTGATTATATAAAACTTCTTAGCTTACTTTTCCAAGGAAAGATTTAATTTCTCATCTTTCACTGTTTGATGGTATTCTTTTTTATTAATATATTATATAACCCAAGAATATATTTTTTGATAGTCAAAGACTCTTAAATATGAGAGGTGTGGTATGGTGGAGCAATATTTCAAACAGCCACATTTTAGATACACTTTCTGTCAATGGTGTAATGTCAGTGGGTGTCACCTACCATGTGGTAGTGAAAAAGGCATTTGTTTCAACAAAGTGTTTTATGAAGTTTATTAATCCAGTTCTTCAGGAGGGCTTTGTCAGGGACCAATATTTTAAGGTTTTATGTATTTTGAACTATATAGAAACCACTTGGTGGTTTATATTTTTTCTTTGTGCTGTGTTTTATCCTTCCATTTCCCCCTGATAAATCAGTTTCATACAAATATATTCCTCTTGTCTAGAATTTTGCTTACTCTGCTGATATGTTTTGTATAACACTAGATTTGGAGATGGAAGAAACTGGGTTCAAATTTTATCACGTATTAGCTGCCTTGTTTTCCTCTTCTGTGAAAGAGGAATAATAATACTGTGACCACCTGTTTTGGAAGATTATTATGAGGAAAGCACTGTGTAAATCTTTCTGGTGCATTGTTATTTTGCTTGCTTGTTTTTACCTATTGATAAAATTGAGCAGATTGATGTGAAACAAATAATTAGCATGAGAAATTACAAGTGTAAACATATCAATAAATGGAAGAAGAAAAAATGAATGCATTTGGCTGTATATTCTCTGTTTCTGGTATATTTTCTTGCCTAGAAGAATGATAGATAAAATGTTTTTCTATGAATACAAAAGTAATGGCATCCTTCTTTTTTTCCCCCTTTTTAGGAAGGTATACAAGGAAAGGTTAGGACTTCCTCCAAAGATAGTGATTGGTTATCAGTCCCATGCAGACACAGCTACTAAGAGCGGCTCCACCACTAAAAATAGGTTTGTTGTTTAAGAAGACACCTTCTGAGTATTCTTTCATAGGAGACTGCGTCAAGCAATCGAGATTTGGGAGCTGAACCAAAGCCTCTTCAAAAGCAGAGTGGACTGCATTTAAATTTGATTTCCATCTAAATGTTGCTAAGATATATGAGAAGTCTCATTCGCCTTTGTCTTGTACTTCTGTGTTCAAATTTTTTTCTATTTTGACTAGAGTAACTATTATCCCAATCAAAGAATTTACAAGTACACATCATCCCCAGAATCCATAAATGTGTTCCTGGCCCACTCTGTAATAGCTTAGTAGAAGCATTACTATTACAAAAATGTTTATCTATCCACAATATTCAGAAAAGAACTTGCATTTCTTTACCGTACAGAGAATTACTTCTGTTGTACATTGCATTGTATGCAGTAACATATTTTACTGGTTTGGAAGAGTATGATGCATACTATTTTCTAGCAATTTTCTTTGTTTCTTTTTTACAGCATTATTTTTTTTTGCTGTAATCTGTGCTGATGGCTGCTAGATTTAATTTATTTGTTTCCCTATTTGATAACATTAGTGATTCTGATTTCATTTGGTTTTTTTTTTTTGGTTTTGTTTTGGTTTTTTGTTTAACTTTTTTTTTTTTGCTCATGTAACATTGGTGAAGGATTTGGGTATATGACATAAAGGTGGAATAAACATTAATTTTGTGCATTCTTTGGTAATTTTTTTTGTTTTTTTGTAACATTAGAGCTTTGCTACAAATTTATGCATTTCAGTCAAATCAGTGATCTATGTTTGTGTGATTTCCTAAACGTAATTGTGGATTTTAAAAAATGTAACATCATAATTACATTCCTAACTAGATATAGTATGTCTGTTTTTGTATCTTATGCTGTATTTTAACACTTTGTATTACTTAGGTTATATTTTGCTTTGGTTAAAAAAATGGCTCAAATAGAAAAGCGGTCCCGTTCATATTAAGACAGTGTACAAAACTGTAAATAAAATGTGTACAGTGAATTGTCTTTTAGATAACTAGATTTGTCCTTTTATTTCTCCATCTTTACAGCCAGTATTTGTATTTTTTTGTTGTAAGGCAGTCTCTGCTGTGTCTTCTGTTGTAGTGTCTTCCAAGAGAAAAGCGTAAGTTTGGAGCTCTAGCTTGATTATGATGTTTATTAAAATTTTTAATAAATCAAATAGGTAGTACCATATATATGAAATTAAATTGATGTGGCTTATCTTTTTTTTTTAACCAAGGTGATTTTCATAATTAACTCAGTATATTTTGATGCTACTTGTTTAGCACTTAATTCGTATGAATATTTTGACTCTTAAGTGCATCATTGTCAGATTTGAGGCAATAGCTATTATAAAATGGCTAGTTGCTGCACAGTGATAACATAGGAATATAGTGAAAAAGGAGATATACTCTAAGAATCTATTTGTTTATTTTTCAGTTCATTAAACTTGTTATAAATAGATATATGGATTTTGGTTTTTTAAAAGAGGACATGGAGTATCTTAAAGTCCTTATATACTTTAAAAACTTAAAAATATCTGTAGAAGTAAATATTAAGCTTAGGAAAATTGCATTACACTGTAAAAGACAGTATAATACAATTATTTCAGAGCCCATGAAATTGAATATGACTGTCAGAAATGAGAATATAAACTTTATAGAATTAAAATGAAAAAAAATTATATTCCTTTAAATATCATTTATAGCCTAAGTTGTTAAAAATCATAAAATTACATATAGACGTTATAAAGTTCTTTCTTGTACACTTGAAACTAATATGGAATTGGTAGAATGGTAACATTAAAAATTTTTTTAAATGTTTCAAGATTTTAAAGAATACTTTGCATTAGGGATCTCAAACCCAAGGTCATATAGTTTGTGTCCCCTTGTTCAGACAAACAGATAATTTAAAAAATTAAGACCTTTTTGTTAAGAGAAACAACGAATTAAATTATGGTGGCATAAATATATGAGTACTTCATAATTTAGTCAAATTGACAATTTGAGACCATGATTCTTAAAGTATGCTAGAAAAATTATTCCAGTGCCTCAGAACTTATCTTCTGTTGTGGACTTGCTTGTTCAGTGGAAAGAGCATTGCATCCCAAGGCAGTAGGCCTGGGTCCAAATCCTGGCTCTTCCATTTACTGCCCATATTGCCTTGGCAAGTCATTTAACCTCTGGGCTTCAGTTTCTTCATCCATAAAGTAAAGGAGTTGGACTTGATGACCTCTGAGGTTCCTTTCAGTTCTAGATCCCGATATTCTTTTATATATGTAATTTAGTTAAATATCTGTTACCACTGAAGTTTATTTATTATGGGCTTTTACCGTCATGGTCAGAGTCACCCTAGAAGGGTCATAGGTAATCTTCTTAGGTTATTCATCCGTGCTTTAATATGATATATTGGAGATACTGAGTAAATTGTTTAAAAGGTTAGATCAAATGTATCTAAACTAGCCATTTTGCTATATTGTGGGAAAACTGAAATCCTAATGTTACAATATACTTAGGACTGAATTGCCCAGTTATTACTTGAAGTAATCATTCTTTTTAGGGGAATTGAGAAGCAACATTTGTAGTGGCAGCTATTGACGCAGTATTGCAAGCCTTTAAAGTAAGGGGGGAAAGTTGTTATGTAACTGACCTATTGCTGCTGAGACCTCATCTAGGTTCCAGCCCACTTAAGTGAATAGAAATCTATTTCTGTCTGCTAGCAACTGATTGAATAGTTTAAGTGCTGGTTAGATATGCACATTCACAAGAAGTATAGGTTGATGAGTTAAGATTTTTGTATACTATTTCATGTGTATTCAGCTATGTGTCATATTGTCTTATGTTCCATGATATAAAGTAGAAACAGATTTTTTAAAGTTGATAAAGTCTAAGAACAGTTATAATATCATGTTCAAAGAACAATTGATTTTAAAAAGAAATGCCTGATTTGAGTTGGTAAATGAGAATTTGTGAGGATTACACATTTTAATTTTTGAAAATGAGATATAACAAATAATACCCTGTCAGAAGTAGCTGCAAAGTTATGCCTTCTCATTGAAGTTGTTGTTCAGTATTTAATTACTACTTATGCTCCTTATCATATTACTTTCACGTTTCCATCAAGTCCAACAGTAGTCTTTCAAAACCAAATAATTTAAGATAGTACATTTTAATGCATAGATAGTGTTTCCCATTAAAGAGCTGGGGGTAGGGAGTGGGTAATTAAATTCCCTTATTAAGGTGTCATTTTAAAAAGAGCTTCTAAAAACTCAGTTCTAAGTTTTAACCTATGATGGAATAGAACATTAAATCTGTTGACACATTTTTTTAAAATAGTGAATGTATACCAATGAACTTTACTTTACACAAGACATTGTCTCTGCTTGTCATCCACAATCACCAGTAAGAATAAGGACATCCATCGGGCTGAGATGAAGCTAAGTTTTTATTTTTACAGCTATATCTGCATTGCAGAAGAATTATTGCTGGTACTTCAGTATTTTGATGAATCTCTGATCTTGTAGCTCGAACAGTGCAGATTACAGCTCATCAAAACCCATTCAATGATGAGTGACTAATCCGTGTTCTATTTTGAATTTGCTACAGGGTTTAACCATGTAACCCCTAGGCCTTCATCCTATAGATCTGACATTTTCATGGATACTAATAGAGTATGCAAGTTGTGCAATGATTGTCCCTCTTGACAGTTGGCCGCCCATAGTTTTGGTTATATGTTGCTTCTCTTAGTTCTTGATTGGTGCTGGTAACAGTCCTGCATGGACTTCTTTACTGTCCTTTGATTAAGCTTCAACTTGAATTTTGCAGGACTTGTGTTATTCCAACACATATATTATCGTTGAGGAAATATTGGAGTTAAGCCTTTGCTTCAGGGAGAAGGTTGGAATCATTAAAAGAACCATACATTTTCCCAAAGGTGCCTGCTCTTCAGTTTGGGACCTAGCTCGTTATCTTTCTGCATGTCTGTCCAAAGGTCTGTTAATCAGACTTCATAACATGTATACAGAAGGTCTTTGTTCCCTTGGTTTTTCCTATATGAATAGTTAGCCAAAAGCATTTTTGAGTTGCTGTGGATCTTGTAGAGCAAGTTCAATAAAAAAAAAAAAACCACAACCAAAACTGAGCCACTATGGATCTTATTTAGGAAGCTCATTTCTGTGTCCAGTCTTGAAGCAATTAATACAACATCATCTACAAAAGGGAGATTCTGGAGACTTCTGTTTATACTTTGCCCTAGGCACTATGACAGCAGCAAACTCCTTTGGCTAACACACATCTTCCTATTTTGTGGCTTATCTCATTTTTTACCACTATTGCATCTTTCTAGGAAGCTTTGTGATTTTGACTTAGGCATGGGAGACGGCTTTGTTGAAAAGCTTTACATTTGTTCTACTAAAATTTTTTTTTAGTTCAAATAATGAGCACATTGTTTCAATTCACCTTGAGTCATTTTTACTTTAAAGATGTGGTCTGCTATAGAATAATGATTGCAAAAACCTGCCTGTGACTTTACTTTCATCGTATCCTCCACACATGAGTATGTAGGGTTTTTTTCCCTTAGGAAATAGCTATGTGTGCTGGTACTTACTAGTTTTTAGATTTTTTTTTTTTGGTATGCCTTTTACAGTTACAGAATTGGATCATAAATTTTCAACTTGAAAAGGGACCTTAGAAAGTCATCTAGTCCAACACCTTCATTTTGAAAATGAGGAAACTGAGGCCCAAAGATGTTAAGTGGCATAAGCTGATAGAATTTGTACTAGGATTCTCCATCTCCAAATGCAGCAACCCTTGATGCTTTCATCTATGTCACCTCACAGCCTTTCTCTGTGTGTGTGTGTGTGTGTGTGTGTGTGTATATATATATATAGCTGTTCTCATATTTTTCTTTTTTTTGGCTAGGCAGTGGGGTTAAGTGACTTGCCCAGGGTCACACAGCTAGTAAGTATTACGTGTCTGAGGCCGGATTTGAACTCAGGCCTTCCTGAATCCAGGGCTGGTGCTCTATCCACTGTGCCACCTAGCTGCCCCTCATATTTTTCTTTAGTGTTACTAATTTTGATGATTGATTTTAGAATCTCAACGTAGTTCTATTGTTATTGATGGATAAAGAGTTAAAGAAATATTTACAGATCTTTTCTGTTTTTCATCTGTTGCTCTTCCAGTTAAATACCCTTGGGATGATTTTGTTTACTGGTGTCTCTTAACCCACAAAAAACCTGTTTTTCCCTGTACTGCTTTTTGTTATTTTATGAAATGATACTATTACCACCCTTGTTTTTAAAGAGAGTTTATATTTTAAATCGATGTTGCCCTTGGCTGACATATTTCACCACTTGGCAAAGAGATTGTATTTGCTGGCTCAAGTGGTTTTCGGCTTTCACATGTCTTTAGAAAATATCTGTCAATAAGTACTCTCAACTGTTTCTTTTTTCAGCTGTTTGCTTGTCAGTTAGATTGGAGGTTCTTTAATTCATTGTCTTCTCATCTTTTCCTTCTAGTGTGGAACTTATTTTGATTTTTATTTTAAGTTCATTTTGGGCATAGCTTATTTGGAAATGACTCCCACCTACATTAGCCACAAATCATACTCTTTGTGTAAAAAGGTTTGGGTTGGTGGAGAGGGGTTGATGGGTTTTTTTTTTTTTTCCTTTTGGTCACTAAAAAATTTGTGGCTCACCATGCCTTCACTTTTTGTTTTTAATTAACAAAAATCTATTTTCTCCCTCATCTTCCTCTATGGGGGGAAAAAGCAAAACAAGATCCCAATACCAAATGTGTACATATAGTCAAGCAAAACAAATTCTCACATTGATCTCGTCCTAAAATAGTAATTCAGACTGCATCCTGAGTTTATCGCCTCTCTGTCAGGTGGGTAGCATGTTTTATTGGTCCTCTGGAATTGTGGTTGATTGTTGCATTGCTCACTCTTCTTGTAGAAAGTGTTCACGACATGGGCAAGAGGCTCCTATATAGTCTACAGACCTTTAAATTCTCACGTTTCTTACTTTGAAACATTTTTTCCCCCAGCATTTGTTGATGTTCTCTCCTCATGCCCACCATTGTATTGAAATTACATAGTATATGTTAATATAATTTGGAGGGTTTTACCATGTTCCTTTGAAATTTCTCTGCCCTCTTCAGATTTTGTGGGTTTTTATGGTGGGTTTTTTTTTA